AACTTACGCTTCATGTGAAGATGAATTGGGCAATCAAATGAACCCCCCTCCACCCCAGGCTTAACCCATATCTTTAGTCCCTGTGGTTCCCCACTGACACTGAGGACACAAAAAAATCAAATCTGAGGATGTTAACACAGGGGATGAGAATGAGACTGGGCATCCCAGGCTCTGGGGAGATGTGTGTGACTGGAGGGACTTCCTAAGTCTGAGATGTCTGAGGTGGGACCTCTCTCTCGCCAGAGATTTTCAAGCTGGAAACAGGTGGGCGTGCACAGGGAAGAAATGAGGCCAGGGCCAGGGGGAGTTAGCCTACCTGCCCCCACTTTCCTGCAGGTCTTTGTTGCAAGTCTAACCTCTGACCCTCTGCTGGCCTCAGCCCTGACCCCTATCCAGAACTCCCACTGTGCTCCCTGGCCAGTGCCTGCTCTCAAAACTGTCTCCAAATTCACTTCTCTCTTTCACTACCCTAAGGGGAGGGAGAGTCCAGGATGGCAGGAAGAGAGGGGAAAACCAAACCCTAAGCCAGTTCTTGGGAGGGAGGGGAAACCCAGGGAGGAAGGACGGGGGAGTGAGGGGCGGGAGTATTTTGGAAGAGGAGAAGGCTTTTCTTGTCCCAAGAAAGAAGGGAGCACTGTCTGAAGCAGTGGCCCAGCTGGGGGTGTGCAACCCCGAGGTCACCCACTTCAAATGGCCTCTCTGTGTCTCTCCCATGGGGCAGACTCAGGGTTCAAAAGCCTTCTCTCTGCTCTTTGGCCGGCCCAGTTCCATCTCCCCTCTCCCCTCCATCCTAAGATGTCCCTATTCAGCTCTGCCCTCTTTCCCATGGGGCAGTTGGACCTTCCTCCATTCACTTCTCCCTACAGTTTCTCCCTAGAACACAAACGCACCCCCTCCGCCACCCCAGGCTCCCTATCCCTTCTCCGCAGAAAAACTGCAAGTGCTTTCACCCTCGTGACGCTGCCCTCACTGATTCAAGCTTGTCAGTTTGGGCTTTCCCACTGGATGGGCTGGGGCGGGTCACACTCAGGAAAGGAAGGAAAGAAAAGGGGGCTGAAAATTCAGAGCCCAAGGGAAGGGAGAATGAGCAGCCGGGCACACCCTGAAAGAGACACACCCAGAGACGGCCTTTGCTGGGGCAGGATCTTTTGGGCTCAAAATGGAACAGGAGGGCTCTGAGAAGGAAGGGTGTATGTGCAGAGCGAGGAAGGGTGGTGGCAGGAATTAACAAGAAAGAAGAGAGGAAGACAAGAAAACAGGGGTATAAAAAAGAAATAAAGACCAGAGTCCAAAGAGAATTGACAAGTGGGCTTCTAAGAAGTCTGGCTTGGCTGCTTCCCTACCTGTTTGTGGTGTCTTTCGGGGGACCCCTTGGCAAGGCAGCTGCGGCTGAGACGGAGGTAGCCCCCCAGAACCAAGATCTCCTCGGCAGTTGGGTACCGCTTCTTCCCAGCTCCTGGGACTGCAGCATCAGCTGTGGCTGGAGAGGTTGGGGTGGCTGGGGTCGTAGGGGGCACAGACCGCCGGGGGTTGACGGTGAAGGTGTGTCCACTGCGGCGGGGGGCCCCCACCCCTGGCCCTGCCTTCACCCCATAGAACAGGCGGCTCATGAGGGGATCCCCAGGAGGTTGGGGGGCAGTTGGGGCTGGGGGTGGGGGAGACAGAGGGGCTGGTGGTGGGGGCTGGAGTTCCACTGCTTCCTCTTCCTGCTGTCTCAGGCCTCCAGTCCCAGCGTCCTCTGGTGGGAGGGGGGAGGGCACAGAGCAGCAGTTTTGCAGGGCTCTCAGAGGCCTGCCCTGAGCTCCCGCCTCCTCCTTCTCAGCCTCCCCTTCTCCAGCCTCCACACTAGGAGATTCCAGACGCTTCTCTGCTGACTCTGAAGGTTCTGGTTTCTGAGTTTGAGCCTCTATGTCCCTGGGTGTCCATTCTCGAGCCTTCCCGGAGTTCAGGGTCCATTTCCACCCTTCTGCTGGCTTCATGCCCCTCTCGCCATCTTCCACAGGCCTCTGCTCTGCTGCCTCCATTCCTGTGGAACTGCTGCCTTGGGCCTCCCTTGTCAGGGTCTCGGACAGCTCTGTAGTCTCTTCCGGAGCCACCCCTGGAACTGGCCACTCTTCTTTTCTGCCACATTTTTCCGAGTAGCCTTGTCTTTCTTCTCCTGACCTCAGCCTCCACTCTGTTGCCTCCAGTTGTACCAAACTCTGTTCCTGAGACTCTCTGGAGTCAGGTCTCCATTTATGGGCCTCTGTCAGGCCCAACTTCTGGTAGGCAGATTCCCCTGGGCTCAGTCTACTTTCCACCTCTTTTCTCCTGGGGCTTTGCTCTCGAGACTCTGCTAGTCTCAGACTCCGCTCTGGAGTTTCTCCAGGACTCAGCCTCCATTTCCATGGCTCTGACAGTCGGGAGCTCCTGTCTCCCACCTCTCCTGGGCTTTGCCTCCAGTCCCGAGCCTCCAGAGGCCTCAGGCTGGACTCTTGGGCTCCCCCTATCCCCAGTCTCCTCTCTCTGGTCTCCCTGGGACTTAGTCTCTCTTCTCTTGACTCTCTTCCCTTGGGGCTCTGATCCCGCATCTCCCCAGGGCTGGGTCTCCGCTCCCGGGCCTCCAGAGGCACAGGCTTTCTCTCTGCTAGCAGCTCTTCACTCCTTTGTTGCTGCTGCTGCTGCTGCTGCCGCTCCTGCCGGATGAATCGGTTCTGGTGCACTGGCCCAATAGCCTCCAGAAGGACCGAAGACTCATCTGGGTCTGGAGGGCCAGCCTCTGCAGTCCCCGGCACAGGGCTAGGCTCCCCAGGGGACAGCCCAAGCTTGGCCCGGCGGCGCTCCAGGAGCCCTCGCTTCCAGGCTGGCATCTGGGACAGGCGTTCTCGTTCTGCTTTCTCCCGGCCTCGAACGGACGCCTCCTCCTGCCGGCGCCTGGCTAGCAGCTGTAGCTTCCAGTCTGGGATGGTGGCCATGGTCGCCTTGAGGTGAGGGTAGGGAGCACTGGGGGCAGAGAACAGGAAGGAGAGGCTCCAGAGAGGCCCAGGGGGGAGACTGAGGGTGGGAGGAGAGGAAGTGGAGGGGGAGAGGTGGGACACAAAGCAGGGCAGGGGGGCTAAGGATGAGGACAGAGGGAAAGAGGGAAGGCAGAGAACTGGGGAAATGGAAAAAGTGAAGAGAAGTTGTGAGCCCAAGTTGGGGGTGGTGGGGGTGATGTGAGAGGAAGAGTCCAGATTGGAGGCAATGAGGGCAGGAGCCAGATGTGGCAGTCAGGGTTAATGCGTATTAAAGACAGTCTCTAAGATGTGAGACAGAGAGAGAAGGACGAAAAGGAAAGTTGGTGTGAGGGAGAAGAGAGAAATGAGGCTGGGGTGAGGGGAATCTGGGTGCAGGCCAGACTGCCTCAGCGATACCCCAGGGAGACTAGTGTGGGAAGGAAGGACCAGGAATCCCTGGAAGGACCAGGAGGCAACGGGACCTGAGGGGGTGTTGGGGAGGCAAGGAGGAGCGGAAAGCGAAGAGGTCTAGGGGAGAAGGGAAACCAAGGAAGAGGGGAAATGAGCGCGGCGGCAGCAACCCGGCGCGTCTCAGCGCGGGCCCCAAAGGTCCCGGCTCCCCTTCCAGCACCGCTCGGGCCACGCCTCTCCCCAGCCCCCACCCCTCTGCCCCGCACTCCGCCCCCGAGGCGGGTCGGGGGAAATACCCACCCCCGGGACTTTCGGAACCCGGGCGTCAGGGCTGCCAGCGCGTTCCCAGAACCCTGGCGTCCACCCCCACCCTGTCCCGTCACCACCGCCTGCCTCCCCCACCGGCTGCGCCACGCGACCCCAGAGTGCCGAGGGCCGGCTCCATGTCTCTTCTCCCCGGCGCCTGCAAGTCCTGTGCCCCGTCCCCGCTCTCATGGAGCCGTGACAGAGCCGGCAGTCTCCACCCCGCTCTGGACGCACAGACTGACAATCTCGGCACAAAGAGGAGACAGCCAAGATCCGGGCCAGGGATGGGAGCAAGGACCGGAGCGAGGAGACACCCACTCCCCAAGTCTGAGCCCCTCAGTCAACTCACACGCCGCAGGACCCCCGCGGGAGGGGGTGCCGAGGAGCCGGGCGTCCGGAGAGAGGAAGAGGAGGAGAGAGGGACCGAGGGAGATCCGGAGACTAGAGGGAGGGGAGGAGGGAAGGAGAGGAGGGAAGGAGAGGAGGGAAGGAGAGGAGGAGGGAAAGAGGCAGCAAAGGAGGTGGGACGGAGACAGAGACCAGGGGGCCGGGCGGGGGCGGCGACCGCTTTGTCTAAGGACAATGAGGAGAGGGATGGGGGCGCAGGGCGGAGCCGAGGAGGGGGCGGGGCCTAGCTCCCTCCCACCCCGCGTGGGACTCGCTCCGGGACTACCCTGTTCTTGTCCCAACCCCTGGCCCTCCGCTGTGTCCCCAGGGGCCCTCACCAGCTTCCCGCCCGGACACCCCAGGTGTCCAGATCCCTTCCCCCAGCTCGCCGACCCAGGGCGGTGGCCCGTGACTCAGGCCCCTCGTGGGACTTTGGGAGGAAGCGGCAGCTGCTCGGGGCCGGGCCCGCCCTTCCCATCTCCTGCAGCTCCTCCCTACGCTTTTGCCTTCTCATCTGGGTCTGGAGGTCCAACCTCTGCAGGCCTTTGTTTTTGCGGGTCGAGGGCAACCGCCAGGCTGTGGGGGGCCTTGTGGAGTGGGCGGCAGGAGAGGCGCTCAGAAACCAGAGGTTTTGGAAGCTCGCCCCCCTACCAGAGCTGCTGCCGGACTCTTTCTAGCTTCAACCTGTCTCCCTTGGGTCTCCGGGTCGGCTGCCGGGAAAAAGGGAATTTGAAGGAATGGGAATGGGGACCCGGCCGCTCTGGCAAAGTGGGCCGGGTCGGCGGGGGGTGGCCGAAGCCCAGCGGTTGCCAGAGGGCGTGGTGGCTGCCCAGACTCCAGTTCGGCGCTCCCAGGCTCCCTCTGGCTTTCTTTTCCAAACTCAGCCCTGCAGCTTGGGAGACACTGACAGACTGCATGCCATATGTAGAAAAATCAGGCTGACTTTTATTTTCCTGCAGAGCATCTTCCTCAGGAGAGCAGGGAGCCCCAAGTCATCGAGTTAAGAGCAGGAGAATACCCTTGACTAGGTTGGGGTCTAAGCACAGAGGCAGGGCCTAAGGAGGTGCAGAGACTAGGACCAGGAGTGGTGAGGCAAGGTGTGGGGCCTAGAGGGACAGCTATGACCATTGAACTTGCAGACCCTGGTCCAGCTTCTTGGAGTGGAAGCCGGAGGTGGAGAAGGGGACCCCTGAGGCACAGAGGCAAGTAACAGTGCCAGGGGAATGGTCAGGGCAGATCCTTTCCTTCTCAGGAGGCTGTTGAGGGCGAAAGTGTCATGCCCTAAACAGTGAGGGGACAGATGAGTTCCATACCCCGCTCTTCCTTGCTAGTGAGAAGTGGACCTTGGAGTTCAGTGGCTGAAACTCAGAATTTAGGGTGTGGAGCTGGACCCAGAGAATAAACTCTCAAGTAGTGGAAGGGGTAGCTCCTTCAGTCCATGAATTTGGGCCTCTGGCGTGAAGCAGCCATGGCCTGGATTAGGATTTAGAATTCAGGGGGAGAGGAAGAACAGCGCTTGTAACCAGAGTGAGCTCCTCACTCTGCCTCCCCATCCTGGGGCCGAGAGAGCAGGTGGAGTTTTCTTTGTAGTTGGGCCCGGAGGTAGCGGAGGTCTTGCTGATCAAGCCCATGAGCCAGGCCCAGGTAGAGGGTAAGGAGGAGAGCAAGGAGGAGACGGTCCATGCCCAGGGTAGGCACTACCCACAGCACTGTCAGCAGCTCCACACACACTGGGTGGCGCAGGTGAGAGAAAAGTCTGAGAGCCCGGGGAGACTTCAGGGCCAGAGGCTCGCCCAGCCCCAGCACATGGTAGTATACCTAAGAGGGAGAAGAGTTTAGAAATTGAGTCAAGCCCTTTTCTCAGCTTGGGCGCTTCTTTCCTCCTCTTCCAGGCACCAGCCTTCTAGAACTCAGGCCCAGGAACCCCTCTTCTGAGACTTGGATCCCTGATCCTGACTTATGATCCATGTACCTTCCCCAGGCCCAGGAGGTCCATGGTTGCTGTCCTTCTGAGGGAAGGGTCATGAGGGAGAATCAAGGAGACAGTAGAAGAGCATGGGAGGAGGGAAACCCTTGAAAGGGAAAGAGTAGTTCTAAAACGGGTCAGAGGTCGTAGGTAGGGATCTCAGAGCCTCACCTGTTTGAGGCCCATGAGCTCAGCATAGTCAAAGACGAGAAGGATGCTGAAGATGAGAAGCCAGGAGATGACATGGAGCACAAAGCACAGGAGGGGCACCCAGGTGGCCCATGGCTCAGCCTGAGCTTCCCACAACACGGGGCCTCGGGGTACGGGCTCCCAGTACCGCATCACCAGCTGTGGAAGGATAAGGGGCTTCGTATCCCAGTGCCCTACCCTGCCCGACCTTGGGAGACCCGGATCCAGAGCTGCCCCCACCACAGGCTAGCCTGCAACTCTCCCCCACCTCTCACCTAAGCATCACCACCAAATATTCACCATGTGGAGGGTGCATGCTGGGTGAGGTCCCAAAGATGTAAGGATGGCCTGTCTCCACCCTGAGAATTTACAGAACAGATGGGGTGACCTGATAGCTACACAAAGTAGTAGCCTGTGCCAACCACCCGATGAGAAGACAGACAAGGCCTCTTCAGACCTAGGGAAGTGGTTTTGAAGAAAGGGTAGGACTGAAGAGAAGGAAGGGATCTCAAGCAGGACATGAACAAAGTTGCAAAGGTGAGAATGCACGTATTGTGCTTGGGGAAGGACAAGTACACCCTTCTTGATAAAAACTAGGGTATGTGCTGTGGAGGAATGGAAGCTGAGATTAGTTCCTCGGTTCTCCTCCTGAACCCATATTTTGCCCCTCCAATCCAGGGCACCCCTCCCACACTTGGTCTCCCTTAGGGACTTCATACCTGCAAGGCCAGGGCCTCATACCTGCAAGGCCAGGGCAGTGCAGGCCACATACAGTGACCTCTGAAGGACCCCAAAGTACCGGGATGTCCATGCCTTCACTCTTTCAGCTGCCATGAGGCTGTGCTGCCCAACAAATAGAAGTAGGAGTCCCAGATCCCATGCCAGGGGGGCAAGGATGCTGCGGTCCTGCAGGGCAGCCAGCCATCCCTGGCGGGCATCTACAGGAAGTTGAGGGAGAAAGAGACAAAAGATCGAAAAGGTGGCAAATGTTTCCCCCATCCTCATCTCCTTTTGGAGCCCCAGGCCATGTCCCTACTGCTTTCAAGAGCCTTAATGCTTCCTCTCTAGGCTGTGCCCATCTCACTTTTCCATTCCTAGTTTCTGCCCTCTTCCCTAGGCCTCCTGCAAACCTAGGGGAGAGGATTTATAGAACAATGCATGTTAGGCAGTTGCAAAAAGCATGGCTGGAGAGGCCACCGCTGGATTGCCCCTCTTATTTCGGTTCTCCAAATGCTCCTTCTTTTTAACACTCTCAACAGCCCTCTCTACAAAACATTTTACTTAGAATACTCTGGTTATCGCCCTTTTCGGCTCCCTCAGTCCTCACTCTCCCGCCTCTCCAAAACTGTAATCCTTGAGTTCCTAATTTAGAACTCAGGTCTCCCTCCCCTGTAGCTTCTCGGCCGCTTTCAAGATTCGAGTTCCCTCTCTGGGACTTCCCCTGTCATTTGTTTCCAAGCCCCGCCCTCGATCCCTCTCCTACGGCTCCACCTTCCTACTCCCAGTTCATCCCCGATCCCTCCCGCTCACCCGGACCACCAGACTCCGGGATCCCTCCAAGAAGTGGCCGAAGGGAGGTAAAGCGCACGAACTCCACTCCGGTACCAAAGGCCAGGATGAAAGAGGCGAGGGCAGCAGGGACCAGGAGCAGTGCAGGGGCCATGGCGAGAAATGGAGGGGTGGGGAAAGGGGCGGGGTCGGGATTCCCGCTGCCTCAGGCCCCGCCCCTGCCCCGCCCCCGCCCGAATCCATCCCAGGAAGGCGGGGCTCCTGCACGCCACCGCCCGGCTTCCGGCCCGCCGGGCGCAGCCTTCCCCACCCAGCTGTGGATCCGTCCCGGGATGCGTGTCCCAGCCTGCGGTCTCTCCGTCACGGAAGGGAATGTTAGAATCTCGAGAGACAGCTGTTAAGGGTAGCGGCTCTGCAGCCGCTTACGTGGGTTAAATCTCAGCTCGTCTAGTTTAACCAATCAAAATTAAAAGTTACTATTTTACCACAAAATACATTAATGTATGGAATACATTGTACAGAATACACTGTACAGAATAAATTCTGTAACTTACTATAAAGTTGAGTTGTTGATTGGCTAGTTGCTAAGAAGGGCAAATAACTTCTCTGTAAATACTGAAAGGTTTGTTGTAATAGTGCCAGAGATTGTTGATTTGTAACCACGAGAGTAAAAATGTTAAAATGTTTGTGATAGTAACCTTTGTCAGAATTAAAGATCATGCAGCTAAGGACCTTGTCGCAGTAGCTGTGCACATAGTAGGGACCTTAGATATCATTAGACTAATTCCATCAACTTATAGATAGAATAAACAGGTCCAGAGAGTTAATTGCCTGTTAGGAAGCTGCTAATCCTGTAGGCTAAGGGACCAGAAAACTGCTGAGCAGCCTCTCGCAGGCTTTACATTCCTTCTCCCTCTCCTGGGCTCAGTACTCCCACCCTCCTCTGAATGAATGCTGTTGTATGCTGTACCAGACATCTTATGTTTTCCCTTGAATTCAGTCTCCACCCTGCTTTCTGCTTCAGGAAGTTGTCCCAAATGGACGGTATCAATGAAAGTCACAGTTTTTATTGAGAAAGTCCTCTTTACACGACTGCTCCACCCTCATCTTTTTGAGCTTGGAGGTGATCACAATAGAGCTGTGGGTACTAAGGCACTGCACTATGCTTTCTGATTTCCCTACACCCTGCCTACTTCTTTGTAATTATCATTTTATTAAACTCTTCCCCAAATTATCCTAATTTGACTGTGCTATTCATTTCCTGCTAGGACCACAAATAGAGACACTTACCACACAAAGCAATGTGCTACAAGCTGTGGGGTTCATTGGAAGTGTAAGAGGCCAGACGCAGTGGCTTACACCTGTAATCCCAGCACTTTGGAATCGCTTGAACCCGGGAGGTGGGAGTTGTGATAAGCTGAGATCTCGCCACTGGACTCCAGCCTGGGTGACAGAGTAAAACTCTGTCTCAAACAAAAAAAAAAAAAAAAAAAAGGAGGCTGGATGCAGTGGCTCACGCCTGTAATTCCAGCACTATGGGAGGCCTAGGCGGGTGGATTACAAGGTCAGGGGTTCGAGACCAGCCTGACAAACATGGTGAAACCCTGTCTCTACTAAAAATACAAAAATTAACTGGGTGTGGTGGCACACGCCTGTAGTCCCAGCTACATGGGAGGCTGAAGCAGGAGAATCGCTTGAACCTGGGAGGCAGAGGTTGCAGTAAGCCGAGATCACGCCACTGCACTCCAGCCTGGGCAACAGAGCAAGACTCCATCTTAATAACAATGAAAAAAAATGAGCCAGGCATGGTGGCTCATGCCTGTAATCCCAGCACTGTGGGAAGCCGAGGCGGGTGGATCACCTGAGGTTGACTAGCCTGACCAACATGGAGAAACCCTGTCTCTACTAAAAATACAAAATTAGCCCGGCGTGGTGGTGCATGCCTGTAATCCCAGCTACTCAGGAGGCTGAGGCAGGAGAATCGCTAGAACCTGAGAGGCGGAGGCTGCAGTGAGCCGAGATCACGTCATTGCAACCCAGCCTGGGCAACAACAGTGAAACTCTGTCTCAAAAAAAAAAAAAAAAAAAAAGGGAAAGAAAGAAATCAGGGCCTCATATTTATCTGGGTCATACTGTCTGCCACCCCCACAATGGCTGTGCTTAATGTATATTATGAGATTAGATATGTTTAATAGCCAGCACAATGCTTGGCAAATCTCATGCTGTTTCTACTACACCAAAGTTTTCCAAACTTAAGTATTACTTACATGCAGAAAAGTGTACACAAGTAATCAATTATTTTTTTTTTTTTCTTTTCTTTTCTTTTTTTTTTTTGAGACGGAGTCTCACTCTGTCGCCCAGGCTGGAGTGCAGTGGCCGGATCTTAGCTCACTGCAAGCTCCGCCTCCCGGGTTTAAGCCAGTCTCCTGCCTCAGCCTCGCGAGTAGGTGGGACTATAGGCGCCCGCCGCCTCGCCCGGCTAGTTTTTTGTGTTTTTTAGTAGAGACGGGGTTTCACCAGGTTAGCCAGGATGGTCTCGATCTCCTGACCTCGTGATCCGCCTGTCTCGGCCTCCCCAATTATTTTTAAAAAATTGAAATTCTGGCCGGGCGCGGTGGCTCAAGCCTGTAATCCCAGCACTTTGGGAGGCCGAGATGGGCGGATCACGAGGTCAGGAGATCGAGACCATCCTTGCTAACACGGTGAAACCCCGTCTCTACTAAAAAACACAAAAAACTAGCCGGGCGCGGTAGCGGGCGCCTGTAGTCCCAGCTACTCGGGAGGCTGAGGCAGGAGAATGGCGGGAACCCGGGAGGCGGAGCTTGCAGTGAGCTGAGATCCGGCCACTGCACTCCAGCCTGGGCGGCAGAGCCAGACTCCGTCTCAAAAAAAAAAAAAAAAAAAAAAAAAAAAATTGAAATTCATACAACATAAAATTCACCTTTTTTTTTGAGTTGCGGTCCAGGCTGGAGTGCAGTGGTATGATCACGGCTCACTGCAACCTTGAACTTTTGGGCTCAAATGGTCATCTTGTCTCAGCCGCCTGAGTAATTGGGACTACAGGCATGTACCACCACATTCAGCTAACTTTTTATTTTTTGAAGTGATGGGGTCTCCCTATGATGCTCAGGTTGGTCTCAAACTCCTTGGCTCAAGTGATCCTGCTGCCTTAGCCTCCCAGGGTGCCACCATACCCTGCCTAACCACTTTATTTTATTTGTTTATTTATTTATTTTTGAGACAGAGTTTCGCTCTTATTGCCCAGGCTGGAGTGCAATGGCGCGATCTTGGCTCACTGTAACCTCCGCCTCCTGGGTTCAAGTGATTCTCCTGCCTCAGCCTCCCGAGTAGCTGGGATTACAGGTCCCCACCACCACACCTGGCTAATTTTTGTATTTTTAATAGAGATAGGGTTTCGCCATGTTGGCCAGGCTGGTCTTGAACTCCTGACCTCAGGAGATCCACCCGACTCGGCCTCCCGCAGTGCTGGGATTACAGGCATGAGCCACCACGCCCGGCCTACCCTAACCACTTTAAAGAGAATAATATAATGGTATTTAGTATATTAGTACATTAGTAATAGGTACAACCACCACCTCTATCTAGTTTCAAAACCTTTTTTTTTGAGATGGAGCTTTGCTCTTATTGCCCAGGCTGGAGTGCAATGGCTTGATCTCAGCTCACTGCAACCTCAGCCACCCAGGTTCAAGCAATTCTCCTGCTCAGCCTCCCAAGTAGCTGGGATTACAGGCATGTGCTACCATACTTGGCTAATTTTGTATTTTTAGTAGTGATGGGGTTTCACCATGTTGGTCCAGCTAATCTTGAACTCCTGACCTCAGGTGATCCACCTGCCCCAGCCTCCCAAAGTGCTGGGATTACAGGCGTGAGCCACTGTGCTGGGCTTTCAAAACATTTTTATCACCCCAACATACAACTCCATACCCATGAAGTTACTCCCCATTTCCCCATTTTCTCATTCCCACCTCCCCACTCCCTGTCAACAGCCACTGGCAACCACAAATCTGCTCTTGTTCTCTGTGGGTTTACCTATTCTGAATATTCCACACATGTGTAATCATATAATATGTGTTCTGTTTCTGGCTTTCCTTCACTTAGCAAAGCATTTTGATGTTCATCCTCAAAATATTGTAGCATATATCAGTATTTCATCCTTTTTTATGGTCGAATAATATTTGATTATATGGGTTTATCACAATTGTTTATCCACTCATTTGCTGATGAACATTTGTGTTGTTTCCATCTTTTTGGCTATTGTAAAAAGTGCTGATATGAACACTTGTGTACAAGAATTTGTTTGGACAACTGTTTTCTTTTCCTTTTTTTTTTTTTTTTTTTTTTTTGGAGACAGGGTCTTGCTCTGCTACCCAGGCTGGAATGTAGTTGCACAATCATGGCTCATTGCAGCCTCAACCTCCTCCCACCTCAGCATTCCAAGTAGCTGGGATTACAGGCGTGTGCCACCACAGCCGGCTAAATTTTTTTTTTTTTTTTTTTTTGAGACAGAGTCTCGCTCTGTCACCCAGGCTAGAGTGCAGTGGCATGATCTTGGCTCACTGCAACCTCTTCTTCCCGGGTTCAAGTGATTCTCCAGCCTCAGCCTCCCCATGCCCAGCTATTTTTTTTTTTTTTTTTTTGAGATGGAATCTCCCTCTACAGCCAGCTGGAGTGCAGTGGCATGATCTTGACTTACTGCAACCTCTTTTTCCTGGGTTCAAGTGATTCTTCTGCCTCAGCCTCATGGGTAGCTGGGACTACAGGCGCATGCCACCATGCCTAGCTAATTTTTATATTTTTAGTAGAGAGGGGGTTTCACCATGTTGGCTAGGATGGTCTTGATCTCCTGACCTCATGATCCACCCGCCTCAGTCTCCCAAAGTGCTGGGATTATGGGCATGAGCCACCATGCACAGTTAATCTTTTTTTTTTTTTTTTTTTTTTTGAGAGTTTTGCTCTTGTTGCCCAGGCTGGAGTGCAATGGCATGATCTTGGCTCGCCACAATCTCCGCTTCCTGGGTTCAGGCGATTTTCCTGCCTCAGCCTCCCGAGTAGCTGGGATTACCAGCATGTAGCACCAAACCCAGCTAATTTTGTATTTTCAGTAGAGACGGGGTTTCTTCCTGTTGGTCAGGCTGGTCTCAAACTCCTGACCTCAGGTGATCCACCCACTTCAGCCTCCCAAAATGCTGGGATTATAGGCATGAGCCACCACACCCAGCTAAGTTTTGTAGTTTTTAGTAGAGATGGGGTTTCACCTTGTTGGCCAGGTTGGTCTTGAACTC